CAGCTCCGATCACAGCGTCCTCCATCCTCCTGTTGTTAACGTTGTTTTTCTTTGTTTCCGTTGTTGAACGCCGCGCACAAATGACGTCGCTGTCAACCGGTTCCTAGTACACGCTCTCAGTGCGAATGCAACCCTTTAAATGGTACTGGGAAATAGTTTGCGTAAAATCGTCCCAGTACTTTAGTACTGTACATTTAGTTCTGGAACTAAAGCGGTGCGAAAGGCCCTAAAGTCTCAAAATATGATGTGGGGTATGGTCCCCCTTTATATCCATATAATCTCTTCTGAGAGGTTTTACACAAACAATCAAGACTTATATTCATAATCTTTCAGGTTTCATAATGTAAGAGAACTGATTCAGACTGATTTAGCATCAGTTCTCCCTGGTCTGAACAAGTCTTAGATGTTGGGATATAAAAGGCAGAAGCTGATCTTAGTTCAGGGTACATACAGCCCCAGGCAGGACTGCGTTTCAAATGAGTCACGCTGGGTTTTCAGAGATGGAGGGGGAGCAGGGATGCCGTTATATTTTGAAAGCTTTTTAACAATAAAAGAACATTCCAGAAAGCTACTAAATCTTTTTTTAAAAGACCATCAAAATGAACCCATCTACCCATAACAGATGTTTTTCTCTGCAGCATACACGACTCCCAGACTATTGACTATGCTGAGTTTCATTTAATTAATTTCACTGCCTGCAGCAAACCAGAGCAAATTACATTCTCAGTGAAAAAGTGTTAGGTGCAATTAACTTTTCAATCCAAAAGAGAGATCAATAGGGCCAGAGCTGCTGATTCTGTATGTATACGTTCAGTAAGTCTGAGCTCTGGTCTCCTCCGAGAAAACTGCACAATGGTTATTACTAGGCACACCAGATATTAAAGTCCCCATGAAATCAAAATTAAAGTTTTTTGGGTGTTAGTATCAATATGTTAGTCTTAAGGTTACCTATAAGGCGGTGTGCTCCAAAACAGTGACAAAATTCGCATTTAGAAGATATAAGCATTCAAAGCTTGCAGTTCGTCACTTCCGCCAAAACGGCTCAACGATTTTTTTGACGTCACATCGTACTTCAGCTTCTCATCAAACTTTCTGTCCAATCAAATGCTCTCTAGAATCCGAAGCACCCGCCCCATACACTATAAAATAGATGCTGAAGCCGCGGCTGAAATCGGTCACTTGTCCACAGAATTAGTATTTTCTGTACAGTGAATGGCACGTAGTGCACTATATAGGGGACAGGGAATGATTCAAACAGTGTAAATATGCTTTCCATTGAGGAAAAAAAGAAGTCTGGTTTC